GTGTGCTTAGTCCCCATTTTTGTACAACGCTGGGCCACCCCACCAAAAACAACTTAATATATTTCCACTTTCTAATGTCATCTACCTACCAATCTAGAAATTACTTCGCCTTATAAACTATTGTCTCCACTATTGTACTCCACTGAACTGTGCCACTTGCATATTACGTCAGTCGTGTTGTGTATGCAGAATTACTTGTTGCATAAACAACACCGGGGCTGTTAAACCACTTTGATAGTCTGGTAGGTAGGGAAGCTCTTTTTGTTCAATACTCTTACTTTAAAATGAGGCCTAATTAGCAAGTTGTGACAAAGTTACTTGTTCAACTAGTTTGCTCATAAGCTTTGTCAGTGAACCTTAATAGACAGGTTGAGAAAACAGTAACTTGTCGGGACTAATTATCGCGTGTAAAAATATTTGTGCTGTGATGTTTTATGATTAAAAGCTTCTTCAGGATTTACCTTCAATATAAAAACTTAACATAATGTGTTCCTGATAACAGATTCCGGGTTGAGGCATTAAAGCAAGGCTGTTTTATTTTCGAGGTATGAGAAAATAAATAAATAGTGATTATTTTGTTAAAAAAAGAGGAAGATGGGTTTGAATAAACATTAAAGAAAAAACAACTTGTCTGTTCTGATTAAATGCCTCTTAAACAGAAGTAAAGTTTGTGTTTCCTCCATCAGCAAAAGGCTTGATCACTGCAAGTTTGATTAGACAGGATGGAAAATCACACGCACGCACACACACACGCACACACACACACACACACACACACATATGCGCACACACTTCTCCGAAGTTCTAATTAAAGCAGTTGTGATGACAGAGCTTGGAGTGTGATGTACAGAATTACACAGCAGTAACTATCACATCCAATGACGTGTATGTGTGTATGAGAAAGAGAGAGAGAGAGAGAGAGAGAGAGAGAGAGAGAGAGAGAGAGAGAGAGAGAGAGAGAGAGAAAGAGTATGTGTGTGTGTGACAGAAAGAGAGAGAGAGAACAGCTATATAATCATCAGTCTATAGGAAATGGAGGAGCAGAGAGCTGTGACAGCTTGTCCAGCAGCTAACTGTCAGTTACACAAACACTTTCATGCATTCACACACACACACACACACACACACACACACACACACACACACACACACACACACACACACACACACACACACACACACACACACACACACACTTCACAAACCTATAGATGCTAATCAAACCTTACAGTTGTAACAACTTATCCAGTGTTGGATAAGTACCAAAGTACCATTTGAAGATATTTTTACTTTCTGCTGTAGAGGTTTGGGATTTGCTGTGTTTGAAGAGTGACATGATCCTTGAAAATAGAGAGTCCAGAGCTGGTTTCATGAGGGTCACATGTATCTTGTCATGCACTGTCTTGTTGAGGCCTTCCAGGACTGAGAGATATTCAATTTAAAGTGCAGTATTTTGTAGAAAATAGAAGATATTACTTATTTCTCATAATGCACTGTTTCTTCCTGTAGTGTTCAGATGAAAATCTGTATCTTACTGTTTGAATTTAGCTGTATTTTTACAGACAGATAAAACAATATACAGTAGTATGAGACTGTGACTTTGCAGCCATAGTTGTGTGCCGCTGAGCTGTACAGGGTGATGATCCTCATGCAGCTTGGAGAGCGGTTTTGCATGCTCCCCCTCCTTTTGCCTGGTAAAAAAAAAATTATCTTGGCTGAGTCATAAAAAAAGAATACAAATATATTATACTTTTATTAAGTTTGTTAAAATCTAGCCTATCTACATCATCCAAAAGTCATTGGTGCTAAAAATTGTAGACCACTTTCCAACAATGACAACTACAATACACTACCAATTTTGCTTTGCTTGCTAATATTAAGCTTTTCTTTCCAATACTTGGATCAGCTGTGATATGTGTCATACCTGAGAGCGGATCTCTAGGGCTGCTTTTAGATTATATATTTAATTTGCTTCAAAAATACAGAAAAAGGATACAGGAGGAGAAAGTGGAGAAAGTGTGTTTTGTTCGAATGAATTAACCAAATTATTCCAATTTTTGGTGCAAATGCAAACTCATGTCAGTATTCAGTGATATAAACACAGGGCTTGGCTCCTACATTAATTTGTCTTCATAGCCATCCAAGGCATCTGCAGTTTGTAGACGGAAAGTAAGAATTGATTGTGGTTGCTGATGCAGCGTTGATGCCTGAAAGATGCCACTCTCTAAAGCGTGTGGAGTGAAAAGAAGACAGATTGACATGTAGTCAGGTCTGGAGACAGACACACAGACAGGTATGCAGGCAGAGATGAGGCCTGAGGAGGTGTGTTTGCATCTTTCCCTCATCGTCTGCAGGTTTGATTCTGTTTGAAGTTTTTCCTTTCTGTGATGGGTTTTGTTAAGTCTTGTCAGATTGTTCTCTCTCTTTTTTTCTAAGTTGTCAGGACAAGACGTCTTTAATCTTCCCTATCCGCCGTATCTGCAAAGAAAAGACAAATACAGCTCTTTTCTTTCCCTGGCTCATAATGAGATGAAACCCACTAGCTGTGTCCATATTCTGATAATCTAAGCCTTACTTTGATATCATGGTTGTTCGAGGGCATGTTCAAGAAATTGACATTTCAGATCTTTAATGGTATGAGCACACCCGAGGTATATGGAGGAGCGCACTCAATAATTAACTTCTTTTTTTTACATAACTTGGCAAACCTCTCAAGAGAGAGTTACAGTTTTACAGCTTTTGCAAAAATGAATATATCTTACATTTAAAAAATCAAATGACTGCACTCTTCAGACCATGAAGCTCACAATAAAAAAAAACATCATGGAAAATACGGAGTGAGTAATTATTGCTTTATATTCATATAACAACTTTTACAAAGGATGTGGTGGTTAGGAATGACAAAAAATGGGAACACTTTCAAGTTAAAGACATCTTGTAGCACATAACAGCCTCAGAAGTAGCTGCATTTCCTGGTTTCATCTAGATTAATTTTACGAGGATAATTAAAACACGAGCACTACCAGCATATGTAATTTCATGCCTAAGTTCCCGTAAGAAACTTTCAGTTTTGTGTTTATTTTTGCACTTCATAAAAACAGTTGTACCTTATATCCTTTACATTCAGAGGTAGCAGTTTTGATTTTAAAAGAAAAGCTTGTCTTGTTTTACTTAGTGTGAATCCTAAAATAGGAAAACATACAAAACAATCTGTTTCTATAGCACACTGTTAATATCATTTTTCTTTATCTACCCTCCACAGGAATTAAAAACAAATATGAAGAATTAATCTGTTGCATTACTGCTGATCTCACCTCTTCCAGCAATCCCTATGGAGCTGTGGACAAACTTTAGAAATTCTTTACACAGGATATAAATTTTTCTCCCCCTGCTTGCGATGTTTACATGCAGTTACTGTAAGACTGGTTTGTGCTCAAGTCCTCTTTTTTATGTACAGCTTTGTTTTTATAAGGTATTAGGGGGGTTCGCGTTTTCTATGATTGACACTTGATACAGCCTATGAGCGTACGATGATTGCGTAGCTCACCCAGAGGATATGCTGTTTGAGCTGAGCGTCATCACAGCGACTCTCGGCGACTCTGTACAACGCTACTGCGCAAGAGGTGGTTCCAGGAAGTGGAGAAAATCCCGGAAATACCGAGAGCAATTTGGCTTCAAATTCCTATAATGATGGAAGGCGGAGCCAAGTTGTCCATAGTATATACAGTCTATATTCCATTGCATTACCATTAAAAACTCCTTACAGGAGTGAGTTAAACAAGATTTTGTAACAATTAAAGAGGGTTATTTGTCTTGGAGTAAAAAAAATCCTTCCATCTTTTAGGATCAAGAATCACATAATTCATTCTTCTGCCTGCTTTCACGGCCAATCTGCCACCTACAGTTTTACAGGACATAACTACATCTTCACAGAGAAGAAATCAACAAAGCAACAGAGCATCACTGAACTGGACTGAATGAAATAAACACAGCAGAAAAGCCCCTCACATCCACGCAGAGCAGAGAGAAGCGTCGCTGAACGTCCTAATCTTCAGTGACTTTGTTGGAAAGATCTGGAGTCCTTGACCGTTCAAGTTAATCTCATCATAATACGAGTCTATTTTCCAGCTCATAGTTTGCTGACAGAGGAAATCATCATGCTGGGGAGAAACCAAGCGTTCACACTTCAAATTACCGGTGACCCCGACCGATACACACACACACACATTACAAAGACCAGACCATGATCCCAGCACATGCTCTAACACAGTGATACAGTAAATGAACAGATGTACTGAGAGCACACGCTGACACACACACACACACACCAGCACAGATGGACATATTGACGCACACACAAACACATACACATACACACACACGAATGTGCGTCCCTACCTGGGATCACTAGGCAGCCGTTTCATGCTTTTACTAGCAGCAATTGCATATGATCATTGAAATTTGTCACCCTCTTTAGTCAGCACCACAATCACCAGTCAGTTAAACGGGTTTCTAATCTTTCATTATTGCATTTTTTATTATTATTTTAGTCCTAAACCAGATGCTGTGTCCCAGCTGAAACACAGCCGACCACCAATAACTGGAAAACAGTGTCTTACAGCTGAAACTACCATCCAGATGTAAACAGCCACAGACAACATCCTAGCAGTATGTTGGTCCAGAACATGGATGTAAACTTGTATACTGTTTGGATACTGTCCACTCTGTGCAATTCTGCATGAGATTTGCTCAATTTTGCCTGTTTTCTACTTTTAGACTATTCTTTTTAGTATCAATATTTAATTTCATTCAAATGACAGAAATTTTAAAGCTTGCATTTTTGCAGTTTTCTTTTATTTAACTTCCAAGCTGCATCAAGATGATCACTAATATTGAGACAAAAATAGAATCTATGAAGAGATTCAGGAAAATAAAGCAACATGCAATCACAATTTACTTTGTTGTTTCTAGTTTAAAATTAGTTAAGGAAATATTCTAGTGTTAGGATTGTCGTTGAGGCGAGGGAAAGTTCCAAGTCTGCTCGTTCCTGTGTATCAAAATCAGAGTACATGCAGCTTCTTTGTAGGATCCGCGCTAATGTCCTTCCCACTTTCACTACAGTCAAAGCTTTAACAAAATTACTTTTCCATAAACAAAGAAGTGTTTCACATAAACACACACTGGGGTATGAGAGGGAGAAAGACTGTGTGTATTGTAAGGAGTGAATGTGGCTGAAGCAAATGCAGGGAAAAGCAGAGTGCCGTGAAAGTCACTTACAATTTAGAGAGCTACTTAGTCAAGGTCATTATTGTACCAAGTCTTTGTATGTGAGTGTGTGTGTCTCTGCATATGTGCAAATATCTGTGTGTCCGCAGAGTGAATACAATAATGCAGCCATTTTCAGCTATAGCAGAGTGCAGTAAAACCATTAAGTGTCTGACAGAAGTGCTGACTGTAGATTACAGCAGCCCTAAATCTGAGCCGAGCATTATGAGGATGGTATGCTCCAAAACACCATGAATGGAGAATAACAAACAAGAAACTTGTTATGTTACTTTTATTCAAGACGATGTTTGCTGATGCTCGATGTCCCAGAGTGGTTATAATGATGTTGTGGTATTGTGCCAGTCAGAAGGTGACAGATTTGAATTTAGTAGCAGCCAGAAGCATTCAGCTCTGTTTAGGTGTCCTTCAGCTGACCCAAAAAGAGCGCACGCTACATTAAGTTGGTTTCATTGGACTGGGGTTGTTAAACCAAGGGGAATAATATGAAATGTAACAGTACCAGAAACCTTTAGCTATCGCACTGACCTTTAAAAATAGTTCACATACAGTTTATGCAAAAATTAAAGGACAATTCTGCGAAATGATTTGGAAAAAGTGATCACCTCTCTTACACATAAAAAGGATAATTAATTTAGGGTCAAACACACCGTAACACCGAGTTAGACACCCCCTCCAGAGATGTATGTTGCCGACCGCTTGCTTCTCTAGTTAGACCAACTTTAGTAATGACCGCACGATAGCAATACACAGCGGTCTGAGGAGCCATGAACAAACCTCAACCACAACGCCACTCTATAGCCACAAATAATGCTCAGAACAGCACCTAACTTCATCATCAGTACATATAGGGTCCCAGCCACAGCACTAGCCACCAAACATCTTTTTAACTTTGCCTGTTTTCTTTAGCAAAGAGACTAAACACAACTCACCTACTCTCTTCCAGCAGCCGCTTGTTTGTAGCGAGACCTCGGGCCAGTCCATTACGGACTGCTCTAGGGTCCATTTATGATCATTTCATCATGGAAATGCAATCAGACCAAGACGCTAAGGCAGAAGAACTACCATGTCTGCAGTGCAAAATGACCAATATGGTGATTATTACGTCAAGGAAATTATAAAGTAATGATCATAAATAATAAGCAAGCAGCTGCAGGAAGAGAGTAGGTGAGTTGTGTTTAGTATCTTTGCTAAAGAAATTAGGCAAAGTTAAAAAGATGTTTGGTGGCTAGTACTATGGCTGGGACCCAATATGTACTGTTGATGAAGTAGGGTGCTGTTCTGAGCATTATTTGTGGCTATAGAGTGGCGTTTTGGTTGAGGTTTGTATATGGCTCCTCAGACTGCTGTGAATTGCTATTGTGCGGTCATTACTAAAGTTGGTATAACTAGAGAAGCAAGCGGTCGGCAACATTTATCTCTTGACAGGGTGTATAACTCGGTGGTACAGTGTGTTTGACCCTAAATTAATTTAACGCCAGAATATCCCTTTAACCCATCTAGTTCAGGGTTTGACAAATAAAAAAGGTAAAATCGGCCTTGTGTTTACAGTTGTGGCTTTTTGCCACTTTATGAAAAAGACTTAAGGTTATTAAAAGAACGTTTTTGAATTCATTTACCTCTTTCAATGATGCTTAAAAACCAAAACAAAAAAAACTGACTATCAGTCTAGATGTTAAAGTGTCGCACTTCAAACACAGGAAAAAAACATTTCATCAGAAGCCAATTTTAGTGATTATGACTGATGTTTGTGTCTATGTGTTTCAAACAACAGGTAAAAAGAGATTTGGCAGCTGAGCTACAAAATGAAAAAAACTTTCTTTCAACTAGAACAAGGTGAGAGGCGACTGACGGAGTGCTGAAATGATCCAGATGCACAATCTATTCATCATTACAAGAAATAAGATGATTGACAGACAACTGATCTCAACTTCAGTCTCGCGGTTAAACTAAGGTGGATGGTTGTGAAGGGGGAGGAGGTGAAATGGAAAAAAGACAGAGCAGAAAAAGAGATTGAGGATGTAGTTAGGGAAGAGAAAGAGAGAGAGAGAGAGATAAGCAGCATGTGTGAGCCTCTAACCACCAGCTGACACTTTTCATCTGTTGTGTTGTGTCTGCTCGCCTGTTTCTCCATCGGAGCAGTGTGGGTTTGTCTGAATACATCAAAACAGCCAGAAAAAGCGAGCTTGAGAGAAGAGAGAAAGAGAGAGACAGAGAGGGAGGAAGAAACAGAATTTTCTTAGAGAGACTCCAGCAACAGCTTTCTGTCTCTCTTTCTCTTTCTTTTAGTTTTCTCTGTGTAATATCATTTCCCCTCTCTGTCCTGTTTTTATCGCTCTGGCCCCACACCCCCGCCCCCACCCAGCTTTCTCTCTCTCTTAGCGTCTCCTCTCAGAAGCAGAGTTGGGAGTTGGGAGCAAAAGGCAGGAGACAGACAAGATAAAAGCTGTTTCCTGATTCCTCAGCGCTCAGCTTCTCTGCTGTCAGGCAAGAAGACAGCGAGTCAAGACGGAGAATTTCTTGCCAGAAGTATCCCCACACAGCTGCTGTCGCTAACAGGCAGACAGGCAGAGAGCAGGAAGGTGGAGACAGACAGGCAGAGGGACAAATGCAGGGGGAGACAGACAGGTGAGCTGATTTGTAGACAGGTAAAAAGGGAGCACACAGAGGCTGACCCTGCAGACTGTCTGTCTAACCGCTCTGGTACAATACTAACAGGTGTGTGTGTTTCATATGGAAGACAACAACCTGACAAACATTTATTTTAGACAGCTGCAAGGTCATTCTTAAAAGGAAAAGCAGGTGATGTGAGGATTGAGGGTGAAAGGAAACCAAAAAAAAAAAAAAAAAAAAAATCTGCATGAGAAAAGTCCCCAAAATAGTCACACACGTGTTCATGTTCATTTTCTGTACTTGTGAGGACTCTTTCTTTCTGAACCAAAACTGGGACCACAATTGTTGAACTTAAAAACAGACACACAGTTACCCTGACCTTTTCACTATTGGGAAAATGTCCTTATAAGGCACAAAGGTTGGTAATATGATCGTTCAAAAACAAACAAACAATGCATACACATAATTTTGTCTGTCTAATCTTATAAGGACCCTTACTCTGATCTTGATGGTCACAATTCAATGCAGGACAAACTGGTACCCTGAGCTAAATCTCTGAGTGAGAAAAACTTGTTAGAGAGTACTTCAGTTTTTAACTACATTTTACTGTAAACTTTGAACATTAGATGCTACGTCCTCTGACTGTTTGTGCTTGTACATAGCTTTTTTTCTAAACATTGTGCTTTGTAAACAGCTTTATTTTTAATATTCTGCACTTCACATCTAATAAATTGCAATTCGATTTCAAACACAAGTAATGATATTTTTGTAATGAGTTGGTTTTATCTCTAAAGAAAGTGGACAGATGTACAGCAGATGACCTGGAAGCACAACAATATAATGCACAAGTGCTATAGAGTTGCTGCATTCTTCATATCTACAGCAATAACTACTTTTATTAAGGTGAATAGTACTTATATTTTCCTTTAATTTCCTCATTACTACTCATTGTTCTTGTAGATGTTTGACTTTTAAGTGGAAAAAAATATAGAAACATTTTCTTTTCACAAATGTTTGATGTTTATCTATATTTTCATTGTTTTATTTTTTGAGTTAAAAAAAAATATATAATAAAATAAATGAATAAATAATAATAAATTTTATTTGAAGGCGCCTTTCTGACACTCAAGGTCACCGTACAAATCACATTAAAAACAGCATAAAACATTTAAAACACATTTAAGAGCAATATCAAATAAAATAAAAAATAGATTAATAAATAAATAAATAAGGAAAAAGAAAGAGACAGAGAAATGGACATTACGGTGGATAGGCAATTATACAATTATACTTTCTCCAATAATCCACCCAACAGCTTTCATTATGACGAGGCCGGTTTTCCTGTTATTGAAAAACAGTCTGACGTTTGCAGAGTGAAGTTATTCAGCCTGTTGGAAATATGCATGTGTCTTTTCTACTTAATTTTACAGTATGTGTTGTCATCCTTTTCTCACACTGCCTTCTTTGTGTGAGCATGTTTTTAAGTACTGCCACTATTCTTAATGAGTACACACCTGAGTGCACATGTGTACAGTCCCCTTGTCACACAAAATCAAACACAAACTCACACACAGTCTATTACTGTTCCTTGCATATGCCACATGAACACACATCTGTCACGCCGCTGTGTTCAGTCCTACATGTTCCACTTCAATTATTCAACAACAGCTTCTCAGTTTGCTGATTTGCGCTGTGATAGTGATGCAGTTCCTAAAGCCCCGTCAAAAAAGACAAGCTTACTAAGTGATTTATCTTGTATACTCATTCATCAGGATTGTTTTGAGTCACTTAAATTCACATTACAGCGCTGTATTTGCCATTATCAGCTAATGTCAAAGCTGTGTATGAAAAACAAGACCTTGTAGGTTGATCTCAGCACGATACATGTCTCCGTGAAAAAAAAAACGAACATTAAAATAGGGTTGGTGCAACATGAAGAGGCCAAATTGTCAGTCAAACCAATGTGTTACAGGTCTGATCATGCAAACTGTGGTGACAAAAGTCTAGTAAAAGCGAGATCACCTGCTTAAACTAAAGGCTAAAACATACAGGATCCATTTTTGGAGCATGGCAGCAGCGTCGCGTATCACGCACCAAATAGGTTGCCATTCTAATCGACAGGACACGTATCAGCTCCGTCGCAGCATAGTATCGAGAGCAGTCTATTTTGCTGCTCTACGCCTCCAATGCACATCAATCCACTCAGAGAAGATCATTCTAGACAGGATTCCAAGTACGAAAACCGCGCATTTCATCCGCTATTTCAAAATAAAACACCATATGCGGACTCCTGACTGTGTATCATTTTGTGTAGATGAGAAATACTTCCTGTTTATGGATTTATCAGAAACACAGAAAAGTCTGGTGGACAATCCCTGATCCACGTGAACCCCGACAGGACTTTTAACTGCTAACTCTGTCTGAAGGTAACAGCACAGCATAAAGGAAAATAGTTTACTTTATTAAACATGAGTAAACCTGCAAAAACCGAAACTGTAAAATCACGTTATTTTTTCACATATAATAGAGGCTCAACGATCACTTGAGTTATATCCAAGTTAGCAGGAAATAGACCACAGAAAGGCAAAACAATTTGTTGTGAGCATGTTGTTTCCTCTATACTGAGCCCAGCTGACTGGGGCTGCACTACGCTGCTGCTACGCTCCAACTATGCATCCTGAGTGCGATACCCAGGGCTGCTCTACGGAGCAAATACAGAACGTGCTCAATATAGATTCTGTATGTTTTCAGCCTCTGTAAAAAAAAACAATCATTTAAATGGGGTTGGTGCAACTTGAATGAGGCCAAATTGTCAGTCAAACCAATGTGTGACAGGTCTAAACATGCAAACTGTGGTGACAAAAGTCAGTCTAGTATAGAGAGATAACCTGCTTAAACCAACAGCTAGTCTAGTTTTTCTTGAAAATCTGTGTTGATTTAAAGATGTGCAATGACTGACATCATCTGCAGAAAAACACCCAAATTGCTTCATAACTGCCACTGTTGATGATGTTGTTGTCCCCGTTATAAACTTCAGAGAACATTCCCGCGAACAGGAATGTCTTTCTTTGTTTGACTCACCTTATTCTTAACTTCTTATCAGACAGGACAGCAACACGTCCCATGGTAGTACAACCTCCCCTACTTTTATAAACAACCAACTTGACACCAGTGTTTTTCTGACACTATCTGAGCTACAGAGACATACAAGAAGAACCATGTCCCATCAGGCATTGCTGCGCTCTCTCTCTCTCAATGGAGTCACTATCTTTCCCTTCGACTTTTTTTCCCCACATCAACATCATTTTTTGTCATCCTCTCTCTCTTGTCTGTCTTATATGGAGTGATCCTCTGACTGTGGATGGTCTCTGTTTCTCTACTCTCTGCCTTCAGGATGTAAGCCCTTGTTTTTTTTTTTCCTCCTGCATGTGTGTGTTTTTGTGAGAGATGTGTGTGTAAATGTAGTGTCTGTGTACCCCCTCCAAACCCATAGGGGCTTGTATACGAGTCTGGTGCTCTCTGCCTGCCATTGTTATGCCAGCTTTGTGCCTTTGAGCTGCAGAGAGAGTGTGTGTTTATGCCCATGAACGTCTGTATGTGTTTGATACGTCAGTGTGTGTGTGTGTCTGTGTCTGGATGTGCATAAGTACACCAAATGTGTGTATGTGAGTGTGTTTTTCTGCCAAATCGGCTCCTCTCTGTGTCCGTCCATTGTGTCCAGTGTTGTGTTCAGTGGCTCTGGGCATTTGGCCGCTACAGAGGACAATGCAGAAGAGACAATAGACAGACAATAGATGGGATAGTCTGTAGTGCACCAGGATGATGCACCTAGTATGTACTTACAGCAGCCGGAGTTTTAGTGCACATCCCGGTCTGTTCTGATGCACCCTTTCTCTGAACCTTTCTGCCGTTCTCTATTGTGTAAAGGGTGTAATGTTCTAGTCATGGTGTGTAATAAAAGCTTATTAATTATGCTATGAATTGCAGAGCTGAAAAAGCATCAGGTCCACATCTGACTGGCAGCCAAGGCTGTAAAACTCGTGTGTATGTGTGTGGGGGGTAGTTAGCCTTCTAGCCTTGATGGCACGCATCCCCCCCTCCCCCTCCAATGACCTCCTCTGTCCAGCACAAGCCAACTGGCAGCTTGACATCCCGTATCTGAAATCTATTAGTCATCCTTTCTCCGTCGCTCCATCCATCTCTCTGTCTCAATAAACCATCAGTGGTTTTGGTTCAGATCCAAATCAATCCTGTTCTGATGCTGACCCGAATCATTCATCTCTCCCCGCTGTCTCACTCTATCTTTCTGCCTTTCTAACAGTAGGAGTGTGTAGCCAGCTGCCAGCCAGCATCACTCATGTTGTCAGGGTCTGGCTCTTGAGCTGCAGTTGGCTTTGAGGGCAACTTCTGCCTCGAGTTTCTCCTCAAGTCTGTCCCTGAACAGCCTCAACGCACTGAAGGCGTTTAGCTGCTTCAACCTGAGGTCACAAGCTCTGAAAGGAAAATGTTCAGGTTGTTGAGGCAAAATATCAAAACCACTGGAGGCACTTTTTTACTTTTTTAATGGAAAAAGCTTCCAATAGAAAAAGTTGGGGCTATTCATGATCATGCTACCTTTTAACAATTTGGTTTTATGATAACAATATCCTCTAATTTTAAGGTATATTGATAATCATTTGCAGGTATGAGCTGTATTTGATAAAATGGACCTTGTGTAACAATTTACTCTAAGAACTGGTGGAGGCAAAAACATACCGTAAAACAACAAAACACTTCACTTTATGAGAATGCCAAACAGGTTAATTGATGATAGCTCCAACATTGTCAGGGTTTTGTTACCTCCGCCAAGGTGGTTATTGTTTTCTGTAGCGTTGGTTTGTTTGTTTGTTTGTTTGTTTGTCTGTTTGTTTGTCTGTTAGCAACTTTACGGAGAAAGT